GGTGGCTCACGCCTGTAATCCTAGCTACTCAGGAGGCTGAGATCTGCGGATCAAAGCCAGCCCAGGCAGGAAAGTGGCCCTGTGGCTCAAGTAGTGGAGTGCCAGCCATGAGCTGAAGAGCTGAGGGACAGGCCCATGACCAACAACAACAACAACAAAAAAAAAAAAATCAAAGGAAAAATGACTTACCCAGGACAAGGAAAGCACATTAATACTAACAGCTAACAGCTAACATAATTTTGAACAATGACTTTAATGCACAGTAGAATGTTATATCCAAAAGGTTGAAAGAAAATCAATGTTTCATTTCAGAAAGATCCTGCCTCTGTCTAGAGGTTCTAATGTTTCTTCTATTCCTTCATGCAAAAGTTCTAATGCTTCTCCTATTTTTTATATGATATTTTATAGTTTCAGGTCTTACATTGAAGTCTTTGAATTGACATTAGTATAGGGTGACTGTGCTAATATTAGTACTAATATTATTAGTAGTAATAGTATTAGAATTAGTAGTAATATTATTAGTACAGGGTGACTGTTAGGAATCTGGTTTCAGTTTTCTGCATGTGGATATCCAAGATTTGTTGAAGAGGCTGAATGGACTGTTCTTAGATGGGAGGTCTTTTGTTGTCATTTCAATATCATTACTTGCTGTGGATTTAAATGGCTATATCCTCTTGGCTCAGTTTAGGTATATTGATGGAATGCATTCATTTCTGCCTGATTTTCTAATTTGTTGATGTAAACATTTGCATAATACCACCCTTACAATTTGCAAAATTTTACTCATATTTGTTGTGATATCATCTTTTTAATTTCTGATTTTATTTATTTGGGTAATTTTACTTCTTTTTTTGGTCAGATTTGGTAAGGGCTTATCAATTTTGTTAATTTTTTCAAAGAACCAACTTTTTGTTTTGTTGATTCTTTGTACAGTTTTTTTTAGTCTCTAATATATTTATTCCCAATCTAATTTTTATTATTTCTTTCTATCTACCGCAATGATTAGACACTTACCCCATCATGCCTTGCTTTTTCTGTTGAGATGGGTCTTGAGAATATTTTATGAGATTTTTTTGTTTGTTCATTTTGATTTGGTTTGCTTTTTCCTAGGTTGTCCTGGAACCATGATCCTCTCTCTATCAGTTTCTGCATTGCTGGGATGGTGGGTTCTGCCACCATGCTTAGATTTTATTAATTGTTAATAAAATGTAGCGCCATGAGATTAATGTTTTATGAAACTGTTTGAAATTGAGAATCTATCCTCTTCTTACCACACAAAATTATACACTAGTGAAACAATGAGCAAACTAAGCAATCTGGCAAAATTTTTATAAGTAAAAAGGAATGGGAAGAAAAATGAGTGAATAATAACATACTAGAAAGGAAAATGTTATGACTACTTACTATAATGACCAAAGGTGAAAGCTTTAATTTTTGATAATTTGATGGGTGTGACAGGAAAAGGGGTACAGTGGAAGCCTAAATTTTGTTGAATGCAAATCTTGGTGAAGTATGACATCTAGAGGATGTACAAATAGAATTCTTTGGAATGATTTTATTCATTTTTTTGCCTTTTTGGTGTTTTTAAATTTAATTTTATTGTCAAGGTGTTGTACAGAGGTCACAGTTACATACATAATATGGTGAGTACAATTTCTGATGATATATGATGTATGTATTTGGTGAAATGTACTTTGAGTTTTTTATTTCATAGTGGACATTCTCATATAATTCTCAATCTAAGGTCCTATTTTTTCCTACAGTCTGTCATTCATATATTATATTCAAAAAAGCTGATGGTATTAAAGTTGTTTGCATTCCTATCAAGTAATTGAAAATTTTTAACTATTGTTTTTACATATGGTTCTCATTACCTAAGATGTTATACAAATATCTAATGGGTTGTGAATTATGTTTCAAGAATATCTGCATGAATCTACTAGAATAAGTTAATCAGAATAAGCCTATATTCTGATAAAAGAACAAACATACATATAGCTATGAACATATATTCATAATTGGGAGTTTAGAAATGAGAGCAAAAATAACAAAAGCCAGTTAAGGTAACCATATAAGAAGTGATAATTTCAGAATCATCTCACTTCTAAATATTAAAACCATAGATGCTTTTTAGTTTTCATCTATTTGGTTTGAAAAACTCTAATAGCACAAGCTCATTAATACTTGAACAGATTTTTATGAAAAATGATGAAAAATTTACTTTATGGCAGGTTGTACAGATGGTCAATTGAATCTGCATCCTTGAGACTTCTCATGACTAAATTTTGACATCATGTCATTGAACATCTGTGTATTATTTATATCATATTCTAGGAAACAAAAGAGTGTTGAGTCTTGCTATCTCTCACTGTCTGACTGTTTTATGGATAGGAGCTGTCCAACTGGACAATATTCCCTTCACAAAAGCAGATATATCTGAATATATATGTCATTTTTGTCTCCTCAGAGACCCATACATTTCATTTTCAAGTGTAGTAATGACATTGTTATGAACAAATATGTGGCAATGGTAGAGATAAATGTTGGTAGGAATTGGTTTCTGTAACATGCAACCATGTCTATTAGTGATTGTATGTAAGTGATGGTAAGGGTGGATGTTTATGCTCTAAGTTTTGTGTAAGTTGAAAATAAAAAGAAAGAAACCAATGGTTGGCTGATTTCAAATACTTTTGCAGAACTTGTTGCCTTAATTGTGTAGTATAAATGGAAACAAAGGTTTACTTAGAAGCTAAACATGTAATTCTTACATGTAATGTTTGAAGTTACAATGTTTGAAAACTTAACTTACTGGGTAATTATTATATGACTATGAATAAATATAAAAATCAGAAAATTTTGACATCAAACTATGAAGAATAGCATCTGATGGCATTTCAAAGTATCAGACAATTAACTTGTACATTAAATAACACTAAGTGGACTTTGTCACATTCTTTATGCTCTCTTATCTAATGCATGTCCATGTGCTGAATTGATTTGGGGACTTCTCAATCCCACATGGAAAATTAATTTTGGAGGGCTTCTCAATTTCACTGACTTGGAGGCTTCCCAGGAATGCTCAGATTGGACTACTATTTACTGAGATCCTATCATATTAGAGGATTTTAGCATTGGCCTTATTAACAATAGCTGAGAAACATAAACACCCAGGGCAAGACAATGCTTCCCTAGGAACTGATAATGCAGACCATGGTATTCCTAAGAGGACAGAATCAGGAAGCAAGAGTGCATGTAATTTTCTTCTGTAACTGCATAACTGCTGACAGAAGTCTTCCTTCGGGGAGCCCTGCATTAGTTAGGATCAGACTTTCTTTGTATCCTTTATCAACCTCTAATCTTTTGGATTGTTGCCTGTTTTTCCACCAGTGAAAAAAAATAGTAATCCACACTAGCTTATCTTTCCTAATCACAGGCACATACAGCTAGAGTTCTCTGAGCTTTTAATTCCCTCATAGAGGCCTAACAGAGTAAAAAGTAAACAAAGACCAAATTTGCAACCTTCAACACAGCTAATTTCCTCTGATGTCAGAATACTTAAACAGGCAGGACCTGGGAATTATTTGATCAAACCTGCTTTTAATCTAATGCATGCAGAAGGGCTGTGTCTGGAATGCTAGGCGAGATGACAAGAGTCCCCAGGGAGCCTTATGGAAGATTTCCTCTTTTCAGAAACAGTAGCTTCCTCATTTTAAACTATTCAGTTGCTGTGTCTTTGGAGTAAAATTCATAGAGTGGTTTTCTTGCTTAAAAAAAATTTAGATGGAAAATTGCTAACCAGATAATAGTTTCCTTTGGCTTTCTGGTAGCTGAGTTATTTTTGTTTTAATTGGCAAAATGTCTTGATTCTATTCTGGTTTTACTAGGAAATGAATTAATAATAAAAGATTGTTGTTATGGGACAGGGAAAAAGAGAGAAAGGAAAAAGCATTATTGACTTCACACATTCTTCTGTTATACTGATAGAAGTTGAAAACACAAAGAACAAAAGACACAAAACCATATGGCTCCTTTATTTAGATTATGAAGCTCAGTAAAAGATGAAGAGAAATCAATGTCTGTAATGCTTTCAGAGTTTCTTAATGGATAGATAACCAAACGATGTTACTGACTGCATTTGCCCCTTTATCCAACTGTCTGGATACTTGCAAATAGCATATTTTCCACAGAGAGAAATAGAGATGTTGACTATGGGCTTCTTACTGAGATACATATTTTGATGATTGGTTTTATATTCTTTTTTTTAACCTTCAGTAATTAGCATTGTACACGGATTCAGTTTTAAAGGCTATCATAATCCCTCCCAGATCCACATCCCTCAGGCTTATCCTGGGAACGAATCGCTTACTTTAAGTTAGAAACAACGTGTAAAAGAAAGTATTTTGACAGCGGAAAGTCCCTTGCCTTACCCTCCCTACCCCCGCCCCCCCCCCCCCCCCAGCCCCGTCCCCGCATCTGATCCTAAAGGCTGCGGCTCACACACAGTAACTCCAAGCTAGCGCTCAAAATTAAATGACCAGCCCCAAAGCTTTGTGTAAATATGCCCCAGAATGTCATGCCACTCGATCTAGCGTTTGACTCGAAGGGCGAGGATGAATTTCAATGCCAGTTACTCGTCAGTGTGAAGCCTGCCTGCGGATGGTTCCTTTTATTGGTGCATCCTAGCGAGCCCGTTTCATCTCCCCATGTGCGTGGAGTTTCTTCGGGCAGGCATGTGGGGTCTGGGTGCTGCCTGGTGGCAGCTGCCCCCTCCACGGGCGCCCCTTCTGGTCCTCGCGCGCACTCTCACCCCCCTCCCCCTGGCTGACAGGCCCCTCGCGCTCCGGGCGGCTCTCGCCCCCCTCCCCTCTCTCCAGCTGGAGGCGGGGGCTGCGCCTCGTCCCAGACCTGCTCAGTCAGCTGGGGCCCCCTGCGGACCGCGAGCACTTGCCACTCCGCGGCGCGCGCCATGGCAGCGGCTGCAGCTTCCCGGCCGGTGGCAGAGGTCCCGGTGACGGCGGTGGTGGAGGCTGCTGCATCTTTGGCCACAGACGCAGCTGCTATTGTTCCCTGGTGGTGTTAGATAGATGCTCTTTCTCTCCTTTTAATCAGAAGCGAACAATAGCGGGAAAGAGCTTTGCCTCTCTCTACTTGCAAAGAATTCCCTGCCGGGACTTAACCCCGCCGCGGAGCCAGACCCTTGGAGCGGCGGCTGCAGGCAGCATGGGACTGCCGGGGAGGCGCTGGGCGTCCGGGAACCCGGGCGCTGCGGGGCCACGTCGGGGCGTCCTGCAGCTGCTCCTGCTGCTGCTGTGCCCAGGTGCCTGCGGGGCTGCGGGGCTAGGCGAAGCGGAGGCGCCCACCATCTACGTGTGGAAGACTGGTAAGTGGAAAGCAGCGGTCCCTTCCTCTCCAATTCTTCCTCTGGGACCACAGCCAGGGACGCTTGGACTCCTGGGGGGACCCGGTGCTTCTAGAGAGTCGGATCCGACCGTGCTGGGACGCGAAGGTTAAAAAGTAGGATTCCAGAGAACGAATTAGGTCATGTTCGATACTGTTTTTGTTTTTTGGGTTTTTTTTTTTTTTAAATCCTAACAACGAAAAGGCATCAGTGAGTCATTGGAAAGCTATTTCTCCCCCAGCTTTCTGTGGGGAAGGAGCGCAAGCGACGCTCTCCAGGGGAAGTGCCGTGTTTTTAACCTCTGGATTCTCAGTTCTCTAGGAGTTTCTGAAAGATAATTTGAGCCCCCAACAAGCCATTTGGACCCGGTCTCTAGGCAAGCAGTATGCTCGGCGCCTTGATGGATGTGGATGTAGAGTTGAATGTGTTTTAAGGGTAGCTTTGCGGTAAGTGGGACACTCAGAACTAAGACGAATGAAGGCAGACATAGCAGCCAGAAGCCATGGAGGCTTCATGGAGCCTGTCCGAAAGATTGTGTACCATTCACTTCTCATGAGTGAACTACAGTGGGATTTTTGTTTGTTTGATTCAAAGTGCACAACTATTGAGATGTTTGCTCTTAAACGTTTTCTTTTCTTGAGTATTCTTTTGCTCTGTTTTGCAACCAGGCACCAAACAGCAAGGAATTGCCCCCGAGTGCCTCCTGCTAAATGCTGAGAAATCCTGGTGGGGCAGTGACAGGCAGGAAAACAATGCCAAGCAGAGGAATCCCCTCCGCTCTGTTCCTGCAGGCTGGCTTTCATGTCTTAGGGGACCCAGGAACTCTGCCACCAGTCCCAGACTTCACTTGCTCATAGGAAGAAAGGGATGTTCAGCGCTGGAGGTCATTTAAGAGTTCCTTAGCAGTGCTTAAAGATTGAGACAGGGACAAAGTAGAAAGGGAAAGTGTATTGATCATGAGATTGCAAATAAGTTACAGAGGAGTCTCATTCTTGGCTTCAGACTACTTCTGTCTTGTGTGCAAGCATGCATGCGTGCATGCACATATACACACAGAGGAGGCAAATCTTTCTACAGTAAAATTGCACTGATATTTTAAATCTTAAAGGAAGTTATGTCTGTCCAGTAACTAGCAGGAAATTATGAAGAAATTTACTTAAAGGCAAAGCACAGAATTTGTCTTGGGATGTTTCTTGCATGAATTGCACACATGCAATGAGCTTTGCAAACACAAAATCATTCCTGTTTTTGATTGATAAATACAGAGGAAATCAAATCACATTGTTACTGATTAAAACAGAAAGTTGAAGGTGCTCTTTAACTAATTGATTAGTTTTATTTTTCAGCAGTTTGTTCTCAAGAACACTAATCAAACGGTATTTTTCCAGCAGATGATATTATTTGTAGCCTTGATTTGAGCTTCCCAGGCAATTAATGAACAACACAGTATTTGCCTAGTTGCAATTTTTGCTATCAAAGTAACAAGAACGAAGCAGTAATTCAGATCGAAAAGAGCCTAGACAACATTCACTGTGCGGTGTCTGAAGTGCCAATATATGTCAACATAAATGTCATGGTGGGAACACAAGCCAATAAACAGCTTAAAATAGTAGAAAGCTCTCTGGAGGAAGGAATTGGAGACCTTGGTCTGAGGGCCAGTTCCACCTTTACACTAGCTGGGAAACGCTGGTCCTTCACTTCTCATTGGACCTCCCCCTAGTGTTTTCAACTGCATAGAAATGTGATAATAGTTGTTTTTTGTTTTTTTTTTTACTTTGCAGTGTTGACAAAATCACAGAATCAAATGACTGTCTTATGTGAAAGTAAGCTGTAAACATTAACGTTTGGTGCAAATATAAATAATGCAATGAAGTTGATGATAATATTCATTTTTGGTGATCCATGGTGAGGAAAAATGATAAATTAAACTGGAGAGCAAAAGAATGACCACTTTATTTTTCCCTCAGAGAAAAGCAGACATTACTATATGGCTAAAGGAATTGAAAGTAGGTCTTAGATGATCAAGGGAATATTTAAAAGAAAAGAATACTTTGTAAATGAAAATATAGAAGTAAGGGAAACTGAATTGTTTATTCCTTGAAAATAAAGATATATACAAACTTAGTTTAAGTGAAGGAAGGTAGGTAGAAGGAAGAAGCAAAAGAAGGAAGGGAGGGCAGGAGGGAGGGGTTAAGTAAGAAGAGTGAGATGGCTGAATTGAAAATTGCACTGAATGAAGAACTCAGACAAGAATTTTTAAATATCCTTATCAGGTATTGGTGAAGTCACCCAATGATTGCTTCTTCATAATAGTAATTAGAAAAGAGGATACCTTAGAACTTTTTCAACCCAAATGTGCTTCATATGTATGAATAAATGTTCAAATACATGTATCATGACCAAACACTGTGTACATATAGTCTAAATATAGACATATAAGACATGTAACTTCTGATACATAGTATATAATACATATGTACATTTTCTGAAAGTTTTAAGTCAATTAACAATGAAGAATTGTTGAGGATCTACAATATACAGACACTTGTAGAGGCTGATTGTAGAGGCAAGTATTGTCATACATACCCTCAGGAAACTTAAAATTAAACAGCACTTTAATTCTACAACAGCTACTACATGGCATACCATACTCATGAATAAACACTATGAAATTAGAGATATTAGAGCTGATAAGGAAGATAGGGAGGATCTCAATGAGAAATTAATATTTGATCTTGCGTCTTAAGAATGAGTTGGATTTTGAGTAGCAGAAAGTACACTAAGAAAATAAAAATTCATTGCACTCATAAATTGATGTGATGAATAGAAACACCTATATATGATTACTTAAAGATAATTAAAAAAATGAAAAGGCATGGCTGAATTCCTCAATATTGGAAATGTCAGTGATAAACCACAACTCCAGCTTGAAATTTAATGTCAATGAAATGAATTAGAACCATATTATAAGGAATTGAAATTTTGAAAGATGTTGGAGTTAAACATATAAGCAGGTAGAAAGCCATTGCAAACTTTGGACAGATTGATATATTATTTGCTTAGATTGGAGAGAGGTGAATCTACAGGCTGGTTGGCCAATATGGTGTGTGACCAAAAAAGAACAAACAAAGATACCAGAACCAAGTACCATGCTGAAGAAGTAGTGGATTCAAGCTTGATATTACATCAACAGTTTATTACACTGTTATTGCTGTTTGGAGATGGTGATGACTCTAGAAATTGAATTTTTAAATTGTTTATTACTTATTATTACAAAAGTTTGAAAACTGCTGACAATTCAAACTTTGTCCTTGTGAGAATAATTAGAAATCATTTCAAAACCACAGAGATTCAACTCAATTTACTGGAAATGAACATTATAAATGTTAAATGATGAAATTTTATACTTTTCATTATTCTAGCATACTAGTTTGGTTCCACAACAATCGCAATTAATTATATTAATCTGATAATTCAAAACTGAGTATCAGTAGACTGAGCACAATATGATTACAATATGAGTCAGACAGAAAATGTTGGATACAACAAACTTCATCAAATTCTGTCAGGAAGATTTATTTTGAAAAAAGTTAATAAATTAAGCTGAAAATATTTGTACAATGATGAAATCACATTAAAATATTAGGACTATATACAAGCTAGCCATTACTCAAAATTCAAGTGAGGAGGCTATTGATAGGAGTTTTCTCTCATCTTACTCATAGTAACGTTTTGAAGTAGATTCATCCATTGCAAGACAATACTATTATTAACAGGCACAATGTCCTCTGCACAATTAACTGCATTAAAATAGTACCTTTGATTCTTAAAGTTATAAATATTGTCTTATTTTGTTGTGTTTATACTAATAGTACTTATAAGTAGGAATATAAAATATTATTCTCAAATAATATGGACAAATATATATCTTACTTCTACCAATCATTAAGAATCCAATTAATCCTGATGTTGAGAGCAAGAAGGTAGCATTATGCTAACTTAAGCGTATAAGTGTCTGCTTGCAACTTCCCTTTGATTGGAATATGACTTTATTGGGTCATTAAGCTGAGGACAAGATGAAGGAGAGGGGACAGAGGGTGGCTACCAGTGTCCAGTAGTTGTGGGAAGAATGGATTGAAAATATTTTTCCATGTTACCTATATAATTAATGTCCCTGAATCTTTCTTCTCTCTATTATGGTTTAATAATATGTATTCCTAGAGGATTTCTGATTATTAAATATGGTAAGATATATAATATACTAGTAAAGTTCCTGATACATATACAAGTTCAGTAATGATCATTTTTTATTGCTAATACCCTGTTACGTAATAAATGGTTCCTTATTTTGCAACCTGAATCAAGTCCAGTAATATGCATTAGCTCTCTCTTCTTTCTCCCTCTCTTTTTCCAGTAAATACACTAGAAATTGCAAACTGAATCCATTAATTAGAGTGTTAGATATTAAAACAAATGTAAGGGAATAGGACATTGTGGAATTCAAAACACCCACATAGGCTCTGATATTAGACAAACCACTGTGTACATCTGTCTGACTAGCTAAGTTACTTAAACTCTATGACATGTTTTCACCTTATATAGGTGGTAAAAATTCAGAAGTAAGAAGGAGTTGTAAAGTTTCAACAGGTATTAAATACAAAATACCACAAACTCTAGATAATAGTAGATATTTAAGAATATTAGTTCTCTTCCTGCTCTTTATTTTTTCGTTATCTAAAAAATGCCATAGCTTGCAAGAATTAACACGAGTCCAACACATTTATCTGTCTACTTAATTAAGGGATACAATATAAAACCGAATCTGGAATGTTAAGTCAGTTTATGGTAGACCTGCCCCTTATTGCTATATTAGTTTGTACTTATATATGAATTGCATTTAGTAAATCACAAAAAAATCTTTAAGCAACAAATTCAAGTTTAATTATATAAATATGACTTCCTATATTTCACTTTGTATTTGT